CTGGGAGCATCATTTAGGGGTGTCCCTGTCCTCATAAGAGGTCACCCAGGGCTGTCCCTGTCCCAGAAGGGTCACTTGGGGGTGTCCATGTGCCCAGGAGCATCATCTAAGGGTGTCCCTGTCCCTAGGGGTGTCATCCAGGGGTGTCCCTCTGCATAGGAGGGTCATCCAGGGGTGCCCCTGTACCCAGGGGTGTCATTCAGGGGTGTCCCTGTGCCCAGGAGGGTTGTCCAGGGGTGTCCCTGTCCCCATAATGGGTCATCCAGGGGTGCCTCTGTGCCCAGGGGTGTAATTCAGGGGTGTCCCTGTCCCTGGGAGCATCATTTAGGGGTGCCCCTGTCCCCATAATGGGCCATCCAGGGCTGTCCCTGTCCCAGAAGGGTCATCTGGGGGGTGTCTGTGTGCCCAGGAGCTTCATCTAAGGGTGTCCCTGTCCCTAGGGGTGTCATCCAGGGGTGTCCCTGTCCCTGGGAGCATCATTTAGGGGTGCCCCTGTCCCCATAATGGGCCATCCAGGGCTGTCCCTATCCCAGAAGGGTCACTTGGGGGTGTCCCTGTGCCCAGGAGGGTGGTTCAAGGGTGTCGCTGTCCCCATGAGGATCATCCAGGGGTGTCCCTGTCCCCAGGAGGGTCATCTCGGGGGGTGTCCCTATGCCTGGGGCCACTCTGGGTGAGGGGGTTTGTGAACCAGGGAGGGGGTCGGGACCCGCACCCACTCCCGTGCCCCGCAGGAACTCTCCGGCTTCACCCTGGACCAAGTGGCTTTCGAGGACGGCAAAGGGAAGTGTCCGTACGACCCCACCAAGGGACACACCGGCCTCATCGTGGGTAGGTGACCCCGCTGGGCACCCGCTGGGGTCGGGGGGATGTCGTGTCCCCCCCAGCCCCCTTCCTAAACCCTTGCCTCGCAGACGGGGAGCTGTACTCAGCCACCTTCAACAACTTCTTGGGCACGGAGCCCGTCATCCTCCGCAACCTGGGCCCCCACTACTCCATGAAGACGGAGTATCTCACCTCCTGGCTGAACGGTAAGGGTCGGGGGACACGTGGAGGGAGATGGCACCGGCACCCCCTGCCCCCCTGGCACGGCGTTACCCTCCCCTTTCTGCCCCCTTTTTCTAACTCCGCAGAGCCCCACTTCGTGGCTTCGGCTTACGTGCAGGAGAGCGCGGCCAGCAGCACCGGCGACGACGACAAGGTTTACTTCTTCTTCAGCGAGCGGGCGGTGGAGTACGACTGCTACGCCGAGCAGGTGGTGGCCCGCGTGGCGCGGGTCT